ATTCCAGGCAGAGAAAAAGACCAAAAAAAAAACACGGTGGAAAAGGACTGGGTGATTTAGCACAATTTAAAACAGGATGCCCAGGGAAATAGGATAAGACAAAGCTTGAGACAGAGGTTTTTGGGACCCGGATTGTGGAGGGGAGAAGGTATAGAAGGACTCATTTTGTTTTCTGAATATGTCCACAAGGTTGAAAAAAGCACAAAAAGAAATTCAGTGCAAAGTCTCTCCCATCTCTGTACTCTAGCCCCAATTCCCTCTGTGAAGGCAGCTCCATTACTCTTAGAAAGAAGATACCAACCTCTGATATCTGAAAGACCTGCGTTCTTCAACATGCATTTCTGTAATTTTGTTTTTGAAAGAATAAATAGGTATTACTTCTATGATAAGAAAATGAAAACCCCGCAAGGGCTGGAATTCTAAGAGTAGAAATGTAGTATAAAATGGTGCTCAAGAGTGCAGACTCTGCCTGGAGTCAGAAGAGAAGACATGCATGAACCCCAGGCCTGGCCACTAAGAGACCTGGGCCACCTTCTTTCTTCATCTTTAAAATTGGCACAAGTGCAGCACCTCTCTCAGAGTTGTAATGAGGACTGAATAATCACAAGTAAAATGCTTAGCATAATTCTCAATAGATGATGGGTATTATTCAGATTAGAGCCATTATAATTATGGCTCTAATTATTAAAGCCATTATAATTAATGAAAATAAACCTTTAAGAATAAAGTTTTTACATCAGTGGCTCTTTACTTTTTGGGGCACATGTACTGTCTGAAAAAATGAGAAGATCTTGCTATGAATGGGCTACTTTTAAAACTACATGTACCCAAAACTCTGCATATGATCTCAGGGGTTCATCAATTCTCTGAAATCTTAGACTGGGTTAAAAACACCTAATCCACAGAACTATAATTGCTAACAGTTATTGTAAACCAGATCTTTCAGAATTAAATACAAAAAAGGATTATTTTAAATTGGCTATCATTTACTGAAAATGAAATTTATGAAAAATTTGTTATTACATGCCAATATCTATGCTAAGTGCTTTAAGTATATTATCTTATTTAATACTTCCACTAACTCCGTGATGTAAACATTATTATCCTTATTTTAAAATGAGGAAACTAGGGCTTAGAAAGTTTAAGTGACTTGCACTGCGCACTAGCAATGGAAAAGTTGGGGTTTAATCCGTAACCTATATTTTCATTGTATATCAAAATATATTTAGTTATGCAAAAAGGACAGTATTAAGTGCATTAAAAATTAAAAAGTTGGTCAAATATTCCCTCCTAAAGTCTGATAGACACTTTAAATTTCCTTGAGTTACATCTTGTACCTAGGTACACAAAGGTAAAACTCCTATTTCCCCTTGGAGCCAAGAAGCCTAGTGGGTTCTAGAGTCAGCACCTGGATGTAAATTCTAGTTTTGTTCACATGCTATCTGCATGACCTTGAACAGGTTACTTAACCGTGTGCCTCAGTTTCCTCATCTGTAAAATGGGACTGTAGCCTACACCTCACAGGGTTAAGTTTAAATGAGTTCACACATGTTAAGCACTTCAAACAGAGTAACTGTTAAGCAGCTGTTATCTGGCATTTGAACCAATTAATATGGTATAACATAATTTAAAACAATTTCCTATATTTAAATGACCAGCTTGGCCACTCACAGACCCCTCCCTGTCACAAGGCTCAAAGCTAAGAAAAGGAAGCCGCTGTTGTGCATCTCACTGGAGGCAGTAGCGACGAGGAAGCACCACAAGCTCTGTTGGAGCCAGGCAAACCTCGGCTCACAGCCTGACTCTTGGAATACTAGCCTTAGAAATCTGAACGAGTTTCTTCCCCTTTGTGTCTTTTACTTCTCCCCATTCTGAGCGTATTCTTGAATTTTTTTTAATTACTCAGAGATGAAACACGATATTCAAATTCAAACTAGAATTTCCAAATGATGGATTGCTAAGAATAATATTTGGAATTTTTAGCCATGAAGGTTGAGTTGGGGGGGAACAGGCACAGAAAAGAGATTCATATTATAGTGAGCCCCTTAAGAATCTACGTTGACATATGTGTGTATTTATATACCTGAAATACCACAGAAGATGCAGGAAACAGGAAAATCTTGTTCCTACAGATGTTATCTGTGGCATTCATAGTAACCATTTAATATACCCTGGCAGAAATCAACATATTTTAAAACTCCTTTGGGCAGGAAAGCTTCAGATTTGTTTTTCTTACTTCTTGAAGCTGATGTGGTATAGATAGGTAAGGCTCTTGCTGCTCTTCTCAAAATTTCTTGTTGTCTTTCCTGGCTGAATTCCTTTACATAACGTTCCTTTTCAGAATTGGACAAGTGGAACTACAAAAAAAGAAAAAACTATTAAATTAAAAAACTTTTTCAATCTCATGATGTTAATTATCATGTGCAGAAAAACAGATTTACCTAGAACAGGAAAAATAAATCCCAAAATATTTTCTTTTCTGAAGGCAAAATTTGTCTTCAAATTTAAGTAGATAAATCAAGTACATTTTAACAAAAACTACATACCTTTGGCAGATTAAAAAGTATCTGCCCTCTAAACTAATGCTGGCAAAGAATATGAACTAAATATTTTTGCATCTTTATTTTTAAAGATAAAATTAAATTCCTTCCCAAAAAGGCAAAATATATATTTTCTATTAGTAAAAATTTTGTTGTTTAAAAGTTACTGTTGGTCAGGCGTGGTGGCTAA